CCAGCTTTAGGAAAATTTGATCACTATATGGGGGTGTCAGGAGGTAGAACCGGACCATTAATTCCTCTAATGACAGTGTAAATCTTTTGTCATGTGTGTGACATTGAGGAGGAACTTGAAGGGCGAACATTATCATCCTCCAGATAAAAATTCATGGGGGTAAAAAATTAAGATTGTGTGTTAGCCTCGTCGGCGTCCATACCCGAGGGCTCGACCAATCAGATAGTTTCGTTCAATGAGGCGTGTAAGTGTGTCGTAAAGCACCAGGTGATTCAAGCGGATTCAATAATCACTCACATCACCTGTCGCACGGTGTTACGGTCTGCGGGTCCCATATACCACACGGGTTCATAAACCACTTGAGTCAAGGGCTTCGTCGCTTCCAAGGGTTCGACTCATATTTCACTAAGAAATCGCTAAATGTTTGGTTCGGGTTCACAAAAACTTGATCTGTCCGGTTCTGCCAAAATCTTGTGGGTTGTTTTAAGAGTCTGTTATAGCCACCGCTCTATAAATACACTGCAGGTATAATATTTTTTAACTGTCCTTGTTTTCTGGTTAGGTGAGCACAGCATCACCATAACATTTAATAAACAATACTAAGGTTGTTCATAAAATACAGATTTGAAAATAGTGGGATATCTAAATATTAATTTATATTATTACATTATGAATCATTATCAACACAGACCTAAAATTCACAAAAGTAACCGCTATTAACGTTACTAAGAGGGAATACAAACAAACATTATCCTCCGACAATGTACATTAATTTATATACATATTATCTAAACAATCACTAATACATTACTCTTTTAATCTGTATTGTCTTGTGTATCAAATTTAAGAAAAAGAAAAAAAGAGAAAAAAAATCTTACTTATTGTACTGCATTAATACATTTAAAACATCACCACCTTACTGCAGGAACACTTATATTTTAACTAATGTTGTGTGCTGTATAAACTAACGTGGTTTACGTCCCTTTAAGACCTCGGTCGGAGAAGCAGACGTATATACATTTTTGCTAGACACAGCTTAACGTCGTAGGCTCGTAGCAACACATTTCACTTTATTTATAATGTATAATACGGTACACCTCCAAGACCATTATTTAGACAACTCGGTTCATCTGCACACATCCCTCAGTGAGTTTATGAGAATTAGAACAGACCGTAAACTCGTTATCTAATCCACAATACAATATATTCATTAAGCTTATTCCAATTTTGACCTCGCGGGGTGTGGAAATCAGACCAGTTCTCTAGTTTCTGTCTGGTGCTCACAGAAGATGTTCCACGCATCGTGTATTAGATTTTCTCAGTCAAAGAGCAAAGGCGAGTAGTTTAAGGATTAAAAAAAAAAATATATATATATATGACTGAACATTCCTACGAGTGTGCAAGTTTTTATTTCACCAAGGCGGCAGAGCACAACATTTGCCTCGTGAAGTGCCCGAATTAGGAGCCACAGCCTTAGTAGATCATCTTTTTACCCAAACAACAAGTGGTAATATTCTGTCTGGAACTGTTAATTCTGATTACACTAGAATGTATTCAATGTCGTTTTGATCATATATATATATATATATATATATATATATATATATATATATATATATATATATATATATATATATATATATATATATATTTCAAGTAGATCCACAATGAAAACGTGGATAAGATAAATCTTGATAAAATCACACGGGAAAAGGGAAACAACGGAGCACCTTAGCTTTTCGTCTTTATTCAAGACATCTTCAGAGGCAACTGGATTACACGGACAGAGAGGCTTAAATATACAGGGTGACCTTAAAAACATGAGGTCAGGTCATAATGAGGTCATCCACTAATCCCCACACCAACACACACGTAGAGGAGCTTAAGAGAAGGGGGGTCGCGGGGGGTATGTCCCTTTCGTTAGTATTCAGTATTATTCTGGTATGTATCTTCGTCTCTTTCGTTAGTATTAAGTTTTATTCTGGTATGTATCTTTGTCTCTTTCGTTAGTATTAAGTTGGCATTTTTAAAGAGGAAGTTCTCGTATATCTGTTCTTACGGTACGGGTGTTCAGTAGCATGTAACTTAAATTTCCTCACGCCTATTGTTAAAGAACCAAAGTCTACACACACCACGAACGCTTGATCATACACTACAACTCAGGGGTTTCTTAGCTAGTAAACTTCAGTGATAAAAGTCCTCTTCCTCGCTGATTAGCACTCATCTTATTACTCTTGTTTCGTGGGGAGGGAGGGAGGGGAAACTCACGATAAAAAAAATAAGAAAACGCCATTAGTCGCCGTCCACCATAGAGAATGAAAGAGAGGGGGAACTATGCAATTCAGTGAGCGTGACAGTTGACTCTTGGTATTTGGGGCCTCACGAAACTGGCCTTTAACACTATTTTCTTTACCTTCGTTCGGGTTTGTAATTGTGAAGTCGCTCAGATGACGCGGGCGTGTCGTGATTGGGCGTGGAAATGAGCATGAATATGGGCGTGGGCGTTTGCCAAGGATCCATTCCCGGTACGTGAGTCAACCCTAAAGTGACCTTGAAAGCGACCAGAAATGCTCTTGGTCATTCTCTCCTGCATCGACGTCTCTAAGCTACTATCCCCAAGGAGGAGAAGGAGAAGATCTGAGGAGAGAAGGACAGAAGGACGAGATGATGGAGACAAGGAGTAACCAGCCCCGTGTTTTTGACGTAATCCCACCTATCCTAACTGGTCGCCCCATCCTCCTCTCCCTCCCAAACTGGCATTATCACAGTTCCCACACTTCTTACGTATACAAAAGGGTAGCAATTAACTGACAAATTAGGGCATTTAATTAGCTGCTTCGCTTCCCAACGATCGAGACGTGGCGACTTCAAACAAGGTGAAGATGGGAGACGTTAAAATATACCAAGGCCACAAAAAATGCATTTTGGTTACTAAAAATAAGATAAATAGGTTCCAATGTCTAACACACACTGTAGTATCGCCTAGCTTACACAGGGCACAGGAATCCTTCATACAAATTCGAACTGCTACAATGCAGCAGTACTTTTGAAAACGCGAGCTTGCGGTTTCACCCTTACATCTAATTATCAAGACATAGGTAACGAGTTATAATGACATTTTAGTTAACACGAGTGAAAAACTTGTAAATACACAAGTTCCTAATTTCTCGCTCGCCTTGTTCATGCTTGTAATGAACTGCGATCACGTCCTTGTTGCCTCTTGGAGAATCGACCAATCAGAGGCCGTCGTTAATCACCAGATACCCATTGTGTGAAAATTGATGGGTAATAGTATACAATATACTGTAGTCTATAATTATATTATTACAATATAATTGTTTTCACTATTGTTGGTGACAAGTGTCTTTAATTGATGCGTTTCTTTTGTTGTTCATGCTGTTTGTTTTGCTGACGTTTTTATCATCATTTTGTAAATATCTGTTGTTGCCATGTGATATAATAAGAGACAACAACTTCACGAATTTCCTTTTGTTACACACCGATAACAGGACATATTTACCCGGTGAGTCACTCTAGGACATATGAGTATACTGGGACACACTTATGCTATGACACTATTTTGGAACACACTTTTCCTAAGATACACTTATTTGGGGACACTTTAGCAAGGACACTCACAGTGGACTGGGACACACACTAGTCTTCAGCACATGCATTAGGACACCCATTAGGACATACATAAGAACACACTTATACTAGGATATATCTCCACTAGCACACACTAAGACACATCAGCACACTCGCTCTAACACACACTATTACACAAGGTCATTTCAATTGAACACAGACAAGGTCACGAAGCAGCTCGTACACAAGGACACTCACTCATACACTCACACTTACACACTCACATTAGGACACTCACTCTTACAAACTTACATCAGGACACTCACTCTTACACAATTACGTTAGGACACTCACTTTTACACCCACACTTTTGGACACTCACCCTTAGGCACATACTTACATAAAACACTCACATTAAAACACTCATATTAAAACACTCACTCTTACGTTGACACACTCACTCCCGCACACTCAAATTAGGAAACTCTTAACACACACTTTAGAACAGTTACCGGTACATTAGGGGACACACACTAGGACATACCTCCACTTAGAGCACATTTACACTAGGGTCGCCCCACACACAAATGTCATGGACCAGAGGGAGGGAGGAGGGAGGGAGGGGGGGAGGGGAGGGGAGGGGGGGGGAGGGAGGTGGGGAGGGGAGGGGAGGGGGGGAGGGAGGGAGGTGGGGAGGGAGGAGGTGGGGAGGGGAGGGAGGTGGGGGGAGAGGGAGGGAGGTGGGGGGAGAGGGAGGGAGGGGGTGGGGGGAGGGAGAGGGGGGAGGGAGAGGGGTGGGGAGGGGTGGGATGTGTGGAGGGGGGGTGGGGAGGGAGAGGTGGGTGATGGGAGGGGTGGGGGGGCAACATTTTTAAGCAGTTACCCTCTCAAGGTCCCCCCACCCCACTAAGCACCCACTCACCAACCTCCCCAACCATTCCATACCCACCTCCCACCCACTACATGACTACACAAACCACTTGATACCCACCCACCGCCCGCTCGACCACCCACCACCACTACTGTGCGCCTATCTACACGTTGATGAGACTGCCATTATTTACCTGTATGCTGGGGGACCCTTCCTCCTATCTTGGTTCCACAGACATCATCATGGTTCCAGAGACATCAACATGGTTCCAGAGACTTCTTTGGTTCCAGACATCATCATAGTTCCAGAGACATCATCATGGTTCCAGAGACTTCTTTGGTTCCAGACATCATCATAGTTCCAGAGACATCATCATGGTTCCAGAGACATCATCATGGTTCCAGAGACATCATCATGGTTCCAGAGACATCATCATGGTTCCAGAGACATCATCATGGTTCCCCAGACATCTTTGGTTCAACAGTTACCAAACCTTTGCTTGTCTCATGTACAGATTAAAGATCTTTTTCTTCAATAGACATTCAAGGAAGACATGGTTTATTATTTATATACTGTACACGACATAATCTTTAATGTTTACCTGGAAATCACAGGTAAAAAAGACAAAAGAAATTGCCACCCAGAGAGATCAAGCGTGTCTTAAAGGATGTTATCAGAATTTTAGGAATTGAAACTCAGCAAGCGTAAAAACACTAAGATAATCTCTTAATGTTATCTTACATATATCGATAAGCTGGGTATATCTCTTTCTCTGACAGACAGGTTCTCTATCTCTCTGATTGACAAACACATTTCTCTATATTTCTAAGAGATAAGTAAGTTACTTCCATTGGGATATAATCATCTGTAACGTGATCATGGGTTGCCTCAATGAATATACACAGGGAAAAAATTATGACAAAAGTCCAAAAATATAGTACTGTAAATAAAAAACAAAACTAATGGATAGAAATAAATAATAAAATGCATAAAATTATTACACTGGAAAGATAATGTGGGGTTAAATTATAGTGGGTAAGGTAAGGTGGTGTTAAACTGGGCTGGGTAGAATTAAATAAGGTTAGGAGAGGTCAGGTTGGGTTGGGGTTGGCTTAGGTTAGGTTAGGAACTGTGAATGGACAAAGGAATAGCAACTCCCATGTCTGGCCTATGGAAATGGTGCCATAGTAGAGCTTCAATGAATGATCAAGTAATACTTAATCTGATCATGGTTACATTTAACATGGAAGGTGATGAACACTAACTTATTGTCTCAAAAATTAAAATAATAATGCTAATCAAATTCTTGAACTGAAAAGTTTCTTCTGATCACACCTGTTGTTGAATCACTGGCTTAAATACCGGTACTAAATGCAGTCAGTGTTTCCATTACCGGTAACAGTAAGTACAGTATATCAGGCTTCCTTCTGTTTACTGTATATGTTTCCTATTCTTCCTCATAGATACATCCACATTGCAAATTATCTGTCATTTTTTAGGTATTATCACAACAGCAACAATCTGTCGTAAGTGAAGACAAGTCACGACATAGATGAACCTCATTTCTGAAGTGACGTTGTGAGGACTTTCAATATCTTCTCGTGGAGGTCACAATCATCCCGATTATCTCTTGTTAACTGCCGGGGAGAATAACATACCGGTAAGCTTTAAAAAAGAATCATACAGAAGATTTTTTTTCAGTTAATAGAGTATAATATACTGTATATATTATAAATATACAGTATATACATATACTGTATAGTTTTCCATGGTATATTGTATGCCTATAATTCCCAAAATACCCCCTACCACATTTATACACTGGTACAGTCTTCTGAAATAAGTGCTCCCCCTTTCAAAGGTTATGCAAGAATTATGCTCTGAATGACAAATACACCTTTTCACATATACGTTGAGACATTGATATATATATCTATTTGACAAGTTTCATAACTGAATGATAGAACACATATCGAATGACAATCTAAAATAACTGTTCGTTCATGCTAACGGAAATGATTGACATCAGTTATGAAATTGACAGCCGTGAACAATAAACCGACAGTCTACATATAGTTTGAGAATGTAACAATTGGAGAATGACATACCACCAACAGTTATTTTAGATTGTCATTCGATATGTGTTCTGTCATTCGGTTATGAAATTTGTCAAATAGGTATATAACAATGTCTCAACGTATATGTGAAAAGGTGTACTGTATGTTCTTATGTTCATAGTATTATAGTAACTGCTTAAGGCAAGTTAAGTACTAATGACAAGCAAAACATTAATGTTTTGATAACACACACACAAAACACTACACTTTCCTCCTCTGTATTTCCCTTTACTGTACTTGTCACCCATACCCTTCAGTTGTCACCCATACCCTTCAGTTGTCACCCATACCCTTCAGTTGTCACCCATACCCTTCAGTTGTCACCCATACCCTTCAGTTGTCACCCATGCCCTTCACCTAAAAAAAAAAAATATACTTGTTCATATATAAGTTAAAGGTCTTTAATACTGTACCAGGAAGAGAAAATAAATCGATATTTGATACTGACTGTCACTACAATACAGTACAGTATATCAATATGGATATTATTTACCATTAAACAGACTAAAACTTAACATAATCATATCATGTCAGAAGAAATCTATAAACTCACATTTACTACAAGATTATTTGGGTGGCTTCGAATTTCCTCAACTAGTGGTATTGGTTTGCCCTTCGGGATGGGGATTGTCAAGAGGAGAGTCATGTCTGGCTGTGATATAACTTGACGCACTCCTCGCACAAATTCTTGACTGAACATCTCCATCTTACCAATTTCATCCAACACCAAGATGTGAGGTCCGGTACTCTGAAACCCAGTGTATGAGTAAGACAATATGTTTATTTTTAAATTTTTCTCGTTTCAACACTTATCAGCTTACTAACCATTCGAGCAGTTGGTCTGTTCTTTGTTATTTTGTTATGAATTTTATTGTCCAGTGTTAGTACAGGTACAGATACACTTAAGCACAGTAACTTCACATTCTAGAAACAAAATTAATCTAATACAGTACTTAAGTCTTCACTGCACATAATTTTTTAATTCTAGTTATGTTAAGGCAATCAGGAATACAGTATTGTAACTTAAAAGATTGTTTATAACTAATACATTAGGAAATGCAATTAATAATATCTATTCAGTAAAATTGGATAGGCATGTTTATAAGCTATGCAGTTATTCAGTTAAGCATGAATATAGACAATGTATGTGCACAATGGTATAGAGTGAGGCAATTTAACCAAGGATAGCCAACAAAGATGTCAAGTGCTTACTGTATTTCTGATCATTCGAAATTTATGGCAGTTTTTATATAAATAAAATTTTTATCCATATCCAGCTTAGGGCATCAGCTTTATGATGATGTCACCACTAGATAATTAATGTAACTTTAATATATACAGTCTCTCCTCAACTTACAACCAGGCCGTAAGTCGAAAAGGCGAAAATAATAAATATAAATTCTAAAATGGATGTCTCTTTTTCTTCTCAGCACCACGAGAACTCTCACTTTTACGCTTGCCAGCCATTTTAAGGGGAATTACAAACAAAAATTGTCAGTACACAGTACGATCACTAACGTCGGGACTCGAAAATACGTAATGAGAAAAATATTTTAATATACCATGGCCGTCGTATGTCAGGTTTGTCGTAAGTCGAATATGTCTCAAGTCGAGGAGAGACTGTACTGTACAGTACTTGTATTTGTGTTAGTTTACCTGAAAGTAGAATCTTTGGTAATCTATCTTACCTAAATTAATGCACCACCTTTATGAAACTGTCACCACTTGGGAATTATTGTATCCGAATTTTATATCTAAACCTAAATTTATATTGATATTTCTGAGTACCTGTACATAACTAAATCTGAACTTGTTTTTATACCAGTGTTCTCCGTGCAGAAAAAGAAATACTCAAATACAGTATTGGATCACTTAAATGTTTCCTTTTATACAAGCAGTTATAATAAAAAGTCTCCCCACATTACATCGGGAGGGGGGGGTACAGTATTTATGAAAGGTTATGTTAGGTCAGGGTAGCAAATTCCTTAACATGATTCTTACACAACAGTTGTAATAATACCTGCATCCTCAATAAAGGAAGAGCGAGAGACTCAAAACCAGGGACATCTACCACGTACTGACCCACACGACACTCCCGCCTGTTACCTCCACTGTCTGGTCTGTAAGCAACGTTTTGGGTTATGAGAATTGCCAAGTAATAGACTACTGTACTATAACTCTAAAAATTAATGTGATTATTACTACATAGTCTATACAAAATTAATGGTGTTATTTGTTACTATGAAGAGAAGATATCTTAGGTAAAACTTCTTGTTTCTAATTATCTCACAATCACATATAAGGTGAAGGAACTCAATCTCGGTGTTAACATGCAGGAACCCTTTATCATATAGAACACAGAACATTAATGGGAAGTAAACACCATTCTTCTAATCATGATGGGCACTAGCTAGGTATGTAGTGTGTGTGTAGCTGGTGTAATCTAACCTCACCTCCCAGTAATATATATATACTGTACTGTTATATCATTATCCCATCCTACAGCTGAGTAATCTTGACTGGTTTAGATTTAACATCAGCTTACCCAATCGAACCTATTTGTAATGTTCAATACATAAACCAACCTAACCTAAACTTGTGTTATTCCCCAGTTTTATAGTATGGCACATCTCATGAAAGTTAAGATTAGCTAACTTACTGCAGTGTCCTTACAGAGTACTCAGCTTACAATGTCATACAGCACAGGCAATGTAATTTGAAAATCCTAATAATTATACCAAGCATAGACAATGGCCACAAAATGATGTAGTAATGGTGCACAATGAGTACAGAGAAATCAAATGCAATGTCTTGTTAAATTGTCCCATAATTACTTAGCTCTGGATAGCACACCAGTCTTGCCGTCAAGAGTGATGATGTCGAAGCCCACACGTTTACCTCCTTGCCGCACTTCTTGTGTATAGAATCCCCGACAGGTTACTACCTTCGCTTGCAATTTTGAAACTATCTTCTGAACCAACGTTGTCTTCCCTACACCTGTAGATCAATTAAAGGTAATACAAGAGCAAATGGCTAACACAAGGAGTTCAATTTCAGTCATTCTTTTCCACAGATATTCTTTGGATAATAATATGTAGTACATGTATATAAACACAGTAATTGTTATTTTAATTGTATATACTTTTCTCTATCTATGATCACAACTTGTAGTTGCTCTCATTGGTACCAAAAATGCAAGGTAAATTCTTTCTGCTTAATATGCCAGGGGTGGCTTGGAAGTTATGAAGGTTTCTTGGGTTAGGTCAGGTTCTATTAGGTTCTGTGCATTGTCACTTCTTTTTGACAAGTTTTCACTTGTTGCCACTATATAAAATCGAAGTTGAAACTATTTTTTCTGGTGGTTTTTTGATGTGTTATGAACGAATTTGACCTTCATTTCTGGAGCAAATCAATAGTGTCTGTGATACGACCCCACCCCCTACATCACAGAATCTAGACATGTCTATAAAAATCAAGGTATAAGGTGTTCAAAAAGCATCAAAAGCCATCGAAAAAACAGTTTTGAATCTAACCTAACCGGGGACCTCCACAGTTATTTGATGTTCTGGGTGTGTACCGCCACGTAAGACATACATACCCTAATAAAATTTTAAATACTGCATCTCGATTATATACAATTTGCGCCAAAAATGCCATTAAAGAAAAGTCTTAGGATTGTCAAAATTACTACAGTACTTGCAACTATAAATTCCCGAGATTAGTTTAGTGGTAACAAGTTAAATAATGCCATCTCTTTTATTACTTACTATCATTCAAAGAACATCTGTGGAAAAAATTAACGAAATTAAACAACCCCATCTGGTGTTAGCCATCTGTGCCAGGATTACTTTACTTAAAAGGTGGTAAAATAGAATAAATTCACTGTTATTAGGATTCAGGAAACAGTGTACATATGTGTATAACTTTAAGATGTAGACTGAACAATCCGTAAATATAAAGGTATTTAATGTACAGTACAGTACAGTACAGTATTACCAAAATAAAAATTCATCATTGATAATGGCAACTAACAAAGCCTAAATTAACCAACTTATCTATCCTAACACTTTAAGACTAGTGTGTCTTTTAATGATTTTAAGTTACGTCTGGATAGGAGACAAGAGTTGGCATTGTGCAGTGCAATAAGAAATGTGAAACCGATACCTTCCCTGCCCTAACTGTTCCTCCCCTCGTCCACACCACTTAATTTTACCTGGGGGTCCTGTCAGCACGACATGTCGGCAATTTGAAGCCATTTTTTACTTCTTGGAACAAATCCGAGGAAATTTGACCCCAAAAAATGATGAAAATGGATAGAAATTTAGAGAAAATACAGCTTGTCCTGATTATGGGGCGTGAAACCACCGTGACCGCGTACGTCAAAAATAAACAAACCTCACGTGTTGGCAAGAATGACTGAGCATTCGCAAATAATACTGTACAAATAAAAATAAAAATAATAATATTAATAACAATATCATCAATAATAATAACAATAAATATATAATAACAATAACTAATAATATTGAAAGTACTTTTCATAATGACAATTACGTTTGCTTCCAATCTACCAATATTGATAAGAGGTTTACCATACAAGCCTATCAAATTCATAATCATTGTACATTTCGCCTGTCGGAACAATTCAGTCATTATACTCAAAGTAAGTAGTAGGCAGCTACCAAACAGGGAGGTATTACCGCCTGGGAAGGTATTGGAAGCATAATGTATTGTCTAATGGCAGACCTGCTGCTCTCTGGCATCACGAAAATTGTGACCAAGTCCCAGGTAGCTGATCTGACTGCCTCATTTACACACAATTGCAGGTTTCAATTGTCTCTCTTACTTGACAACACAACATACATAAAGCGTTTCTCACTAATTATTTTATTTTATTTTTTATAGTTCTTTATTATTATTATTATTAGTGTTGCTATTATTATCATTATGAAGAATTATGAACAATTATTACATTATCGCCCCCCAGGCCCAGATGTGGGTCAGTGACCTGTGCCCGGGTGGTTTAATCCCAGAAAACAAAAATGGACATAAAATAAGTGAAATGGCAGCATCAAGTAACTTTAGCCAGGTAGAATGGACAACAGAATCTTAATGAGAACTAGATACATGTATGTAAGGATGTTCCTGTTCCACCTGGCCAGATTATGTCAGTTTATTTAGAAATTTTTAACACAAAGTTGTCAAATTTGAATTCAATGAAGGTGCAGAACAGTTGTTTTAAAGCAGTAGATGAAGACAAAGGATTTGCCATGTTATTAGTTAAATGATACTAAATTAAGCCTGAGGTTGAGGACTGGAAGAAGACTATGATAGTATCCGGTATACTTGATGAAGGAAATATAATCTATTTAGACATGAAAGCAAATAACTTTGATAGAAAAGCTGTAACTTGTAGGGAAAATTTCAGAAGGTAATGAAAATAAAACTGAAATTGTACAGAATGGCAAAATAGATTACAGTACTGTACTCTCAGAAAAACATCCATGATAGATTGTCATGTTTGTTTCAGTCCCAACTCAGTATTTAATGATGTTGATAATGCCCTAATACCATATAGTGACCATGATTTGGTTCTGGGAGATAGAACAACTAGGCTCTCCGCTATATTAGACCAACTGGACTGGACTCGCTTAACATATTTAGCCCATGTACTGTAGACACATCGAGCAGTCGAAAAAGATTGAGGAGTAAATGTTTAGTAATATGTTATCTAAAGACCCCATTGGAGAGTCCACTGCAGCATATGTTTCATCATCTATTGTCCTCGTTGGTAAGCCAGATGGAAATTTGAAACTACACTGATTATCGTAGAGTACACAAGGTTACAATCAATATTCAGCCCTTGCCTATACTTGATGAGCTTGTAGAAGATAGTACTCTACAGGAAAGAAATATTATTGTAGCTTTGACATGAAAGATGCATACAATATAACCACTTTCAGCTGGGCTAAATTTGTACTAGCTTAAGAGGTTACGTTTTGGCTTCAGTTAGTCCAGCAATATTTATAAGCAAGGTGAAACATGTCCAGAATCCTCTAAAATAGAAGGGGTGGTGTAGAAATTATTTAATTGACGTAATTATTCAGGTTTCCTCTTTTTAAACATCTATTAGACAGACCGCAAGATACAGTCCAAAGGCTAGAGAACATGGAAACGAGTTTAAGTGTCAGTAAATGTACCTTTGGTATGAAAGAAATTAAATTCATAAGTCATGTAGTGATAGAAGGAGGAATAAAACCAAACAAAAACACTTTAGCTGTAAAGAACACGCCACACTCTAAGACTGTCAAATAGATATGATGGTTATTGGAATGTTAAACATTTACTGTAAGCATATCGAGAATTTTGTTTTGTTAGCCAGTCCATAACTGACCTAATGAGGAAAGGGGTTCATTTTGTGTGGACATCCGATTGTGAGGCTGCCTTTGTAACTCAGAAAGGCAAACTTATTACTGCTCCAGTATTAAAGCAGATGCTAATGGCACACACACACACCGGTAGGGCTACAATGCAAGTTGAGGGAGAGAAACACTCGAGAGCTATTGGTTGTTATTGTTGTCGGAAATAAGTGCTACCGATAGGAAATATCGTCTCCGCTAGCCCAACTTTAGCAATTGTCAACTCTTGTAGATCTTTCAATCATTACTTATGGCGTAAAGTTATAAGCCATTCATCATTGCGACAGGTCACCATTCTTTGACTACTGTATTACTGTATACAGTATAGCAAAGATAAGCACTCGGTCTATGAACGCCTAGATGAAATTATTCATACAGTAGGTGTGGTCAAGGAAGTTGACTGAGAAAAGTTTACATCAAAGTAGAACCGGTAACATCCCAGTCTCTACTCCCAAGTCAACCACTTCCCATTAGGTTAGGTCAGGTCATCAATAACGGACAGCAGACATTCTAGAAATGCAGAATGTGACATTTTCAGAGTAGACAAATGGCCATAAACCGTGAAGATGCCCAAATCTTAGGATTAACTATAGACCAGATTAAAGAAGTTCAAAAGAAAGACAAGTTATGTGCCTAATTGTTTGCATTTTTAGGAGGTAAATATCTTAAGACAGTAATCAGGAAATAAGAAACATCAAATTCAAGATCTCTTATAGTCCCAAGGTCTTTAGTGTACCTATACTTTGCTCCATAGTTCAAGATGAGTCTCATTAAGGTGAACAAAAGACCATTGCTAATGCAAAACAGCATTTTTATTGGCCAACTTAGCTGAGATTTTAAGAATTATGTAGTCTTTTAAGTCGTCAATAGTTATTCATCAATGGAGACATACCTCCAGCAGAAGTGAATGGTGAATAAGTAGCCATATACTTGACAATTATTGTACTGTACATAATTGCAGAATGAACTTTACATATTTTTTCATAAGTGTGGCCCATTTTTCTAGATATTCAAGAATTTGTTGCTTTGAGAAGCCTCAGCTAGTTATTTTAGACAATGTAGGTAAATTTGCAAGAGCTATATTTAAAGTTTGACATATACGAGTTTTTGTTGGGAAGAGAAAACTGCGACTCTCCCACAGTGGCATAGCCGGATTTGACCACTGATTGGAAAGGGGATTCTTCGGATGGGCGGTGAGGAAGCTGGAGTTATCAAAACACACCTCCCTGGGAACTACACAGTCTATAGAGGTATGACTCATAGTTCCATTCAGTTGACTTATGGTTCGAGTTTAGATTTTAGATCCTCTTTTCCCTATTAAACAAATTGATTGGAACCTAGGTATTAGGACAATTGTGGGGGAAGCAAAGCTTCCCCCCCCCCCCCGTTTAAATTAAGGGCTGGGCTGTTCTTAGATCCTCCAAACTATGTGGTGTAAGACTATTACAGTAATAAAACACTAAGTGCAGTCGACTTTTGTAGCTTGATGCTAATCCTCTATACTATAATCTAGCCTGAAGAAATTGACTTCGTCTTGCAATTATAGGGAATGTCCGCATGCTCTTACATTTCTGGGTGTACAGTCGACCAAAATTATTCTCTGCACCTATACGGTGTTAAACAATATAACACACCGGACCAAGAATTCTGAACACCCATGAGTTATGGTGTCATAATGTTAAGTTCTCTACATTAACTATACATATACAAAATACATCGAATTGGTTACACAGTGCATCACACAATCGTAAGTACCCGTACCACCCTTAACCCCGCGAAGGCCACCAGACCCAGGTAATAAACGCCTTAGTTAAGGACGTTCAAGTGACGGGCAAGTCAGAGGGAAGGATTGAAACCCGCAGAGAACAAGGCGTTCATTAGTATCACATGGTGATCTATCTGATACATAATTAGTTAGTCTCAGACGATTTCATCTGAATTAACATTGATTATTAAGTATAGTGACATGATACAAAGTTCATAACTATTAATCTTAGTTACACTTCATTCCGCATTGTCTTATTTCTCCAGATAAGGCAGAAACGAGAAGGCATAATTAGTCCACAATATTTCAGTACCGAGGGGTATGTCATCACTTTGGTTGTACTTAAAAGTGTGGGTCAATGTGAACCAGTATGGTGTTCCAAGGGACAATAGTACTGTGTAAATTGTTCCAGCACAAAAACTCGGCCAGGATTGGGAGTCGGTGTTCACCAGAGGGCTGGTCCTCACAGCATCACTAGAGAGGGCTGTCTGCATCATAAGAGGCCAGGCGGCCACGCCACCAAAACCATACACTAAAAGAATCAGGGCATCTTGTTTGTGCAGGTCGCATGGGGGAGGGCACGTGGTCGCAGGCTGATGTTTGTTCGGGTAAGGCCAGCGGCGATAACACAGGGGTGCAGAAGATTTTGTTGACCACCTTAGTAGAGTTTACTCAGTGTATGAAAATACAGCACAGGTTATCATAGAACTTTATAATAGCCAGGTTTGACATACTCTAGTCAGTCTCCCGAGCCCTGGAAAATGTATCACAATCCAAACATGTACGGGAACTAAATTTTTACAGTATTTGACGGGTTTGAAGCTACTGAACTCTTGAAACCAAGAAGTAATCAATATAACCGAATTATTGAAGTGTCAGTGTAACATGAGAATTTGAGTTCTGTAAATTTCACCATCCAATTTTGATCTACCCCAGCCATAGACACCTGGACAGGCCCGATTGACAAGTGTTAATTTTGCTCTTTTTGAAATATGATGAGAAAATAAGGTCCACTCTTGTTTCTTTTCTCTAAAAGCTTTTGTCAATTGTACAATTTAGAATATTGGATGTTAAAAACTCAAAGAATAGGGAAAACTACAGTACATATTATATTTTTTTTTTTTAAGATTGCTAATTTCTGTACACAATGAGACAATAATAAATGCGTATAACTACTTGTGCAAAAGAATAAGGAATGAGAGGTTTTGGAAGTTAAATATGCATGTAAAAATAATAAAGCGTAATACAATATTAAGCACAAGCATTGCGTTCATTGTCCGTAAGGTGAATGGTTGCACCCACCAATGGAGATTGTCGAAGTTTACCTGCCAAGTGGCTAATGAAGTCTACATGTACCGTATAATGAATTTAAAGAGTATTACTGTAGTCTTTTCATTTGAAATATGCTAATAGAGTACTGTTCTGCATTAGAATTACAGTATACTGTATTTGGTTACTAAACACTGTGTTATACTTTGTCAGAAATTTCGTTTATTTATTTTGTATTAAGTATCAATTGTGAATGTTTTTTTTAAAGTAACGCAACTCTTTACGAGTGGGTTCAAGTGCCCTATCTAAGTGTCAATTTCAAGTCCACCAACTTTCTGATGTTGTTGTACAGTAGCCACAATAATAATTCAGTACATAACTCCCTTATGTCCAAACTAACCTGACTAAAACTCTGCCAACTCTTTCACCCAAACAACTTAAAACTCCTGTATGTTGTGACTACTTCCTTTAACAAAGTACTGCATCAAACTCAACTAAAATGCAGTGTCCACATTGCACTGTTGACCTACACTAAGATCTCCTTCCCAAGTTACATAATTTCTTATGTTCTACAGACCATAACTGGGAATGATTGCCTTGTTGCCAAATATAAGAGGTACAGTACAGCACTGTAGGCTACATGAGCTATCTTATGTAAACCAGGAGCTACAGAAACTACACAATTGTTACTTTTTAAACATAAATCAATAAAAATTTTCACTTAAACTGTACAATAGTAAAATCTTTTTCAACAAAATTTTAACTAATTTCTAAATTATTGGAAATTTACTCTAACATTTTATCCGAGACCTTATTTAGTGAGAAATTTTTAAATCGGACTATTCCTCAGGAGTGACAAACCCAATTGAACCTTAAATTTCACTATACAGTATAATGTGTAAATCAATTTTTAATTGCAAGTATAAAGACCTCTTAAAAATCAAACGCTTTTTCTTACATCAGTGATTAACCTACAGATTTAGTAGTCACATGTATCAAATATGATAACATAAAATGACAATATTGATATAGTACAGGTACTGTACTTACACGTGTCTATTACAGTATATCTATAAAACAAATGTTACAAGTTACTGATAATTAAAAGGTGTCTACGAAGTTCATATTTTCAAAAGGTATGACCTTTGTTCCTTAAAAAGTAGGACTTTTGTTCGACCTAAATTTTATGAAGTATGATCCAAACTGCAAGTTTGGTCCATAATTTAGGAATTTTTAACGACTTGGCAATTGCTTAAAAAAAATTAAGATTAACCGTTTTGTCCCCTACCCAATTTAAAGGCCGGGTAAATTCAGAACTTCATTATGCATTCTTGGCAACTGATTATTATTATTAAATTATGTGATCAAGACCCTCTTGGGAAGATACTGTATAAACTGTACGTACTGTACTAAAGATCACCACAGTGGACCCCTGAAGCCCCATGACACTAGCAAAATTCCAAATTACTTGTACAGTACAGGTATAATAATTTACTTTAATAATTTACTTGTCAGTCAATGATATAATTAGGCATAATAAAGGTCTGAACTGGGATGAGGACTGACCTTTTGACTTTTTTGGTTGGGGTGCATTTTTATCACTTAAACTAAATGGCGATAAATACAACATGGAAGAACCCAATATTTAAAAAAATACTGTATATTCACTGTACAGCAATGTACTGTACTTAAAATCAACTAATCAAGTCCATAATCAAACACTCGAAATGTACAGTATAGAGATTGTTCTAAAAATATGACCTATTAAAATATTATACCATTGTAGGACCCCTAAAACAGTATGAGTATATATGACTGTTGGACTATTAGTGTCAATAACTGGTGATATTCTCACCCTGACTAATGTCACAGGTCATCGATTCTTTCCAATTAAACTTCAAATTTGGTCTTTAAACTGGAGTTGCTCCCAATGACTGATGTTCCATCCTGTGTGACTTGTCCAAGACCAGGCAAGCAGCAAATAAAATTATGTTGGCATTCTTACGTATCAGCTTGTGGCCATGCCAACATTTTTACTATCTAATCAAAATGTACTCTTCACACATGGTGGTTTAACTTGAAAAATTAGGTCCTAAAGCGAGTAGGAAGACCGGTTTAACTGGAAGTTTTAAATGTGATGTGTAAGAAATAAGAAATTTTACACTGCCACCCTGGACAACCATTGGACTACTGTACTGACTAGTAAGGTGCAATTGTTAGAAGGGTTAGGTTTGCTAGGTTAATATTCTAATTTTATTTGGTTAGTATTTCACCTACATGGACAGTCCAAGGCAACCGATCTTTGGCATATTTACCGTCAAGAAATTTTTAAGCAGGTAAACATGTCAACCAGCCACCCAAGGCATGTAGAGGGAACATTGTGGTCCACTATCTGCTCCAGGATTGGTCTAGGTTCGTGTTAATGAATTTCTGAATCTTTCCTGAATTAAAATGTAATCTACTGTTCTTTACATTGTCCTAGGGCGAGACCCATGTTTAGAGATGCCTAGGCCCTAGGGTGTTCAAACCACGTACAGTATTTACAATTATCTTTTTTTCCTTACAGAAGTCAATATTTCTACTTTCATTTCTATTACCAAATCCATGTCATCCTACTTCTGGTTTTACTTTCCCAACTTTTGCTTTAAATTCACCTTCAAAATCAAACAATCATTAAACTTTGTCTTATGCTTTCTTTAAATCTTCGTAAAATATTTCTACATCTTCGCTATCATTTGTTGGTGCATAAACCAGTATTATCATCAAGTCCATGAGTTTAGCATCAAACTTGAGTAACAAAACTATCTGACACTACTGCTCGACTTCTGGTTTACAAGAATACCAACTTTTACTTTTATCCTCTTCACCGCTTGGGAGATCGGTCACGTCTCTTGACACCCTGTTGGCAAGTACTGGACATGCACTGGCTCCTGAATGTACCTGAACCTGCTCCAGTGTTGGTCAAGTCTGGTCTTGAAAGAGCTAACACTCGGTGCCGTCACAACACTTTCTGGTAGATTATTCCAAGAGTTCACAACTCTCTCCGAAAAAGTTTGCCCTCACAGTTTTTTGGACTTACGACTTCTTCAATCTTGAGCTGTGACCCCTTGTGGGGCGAGCGTCCGCCAGCTCCAAGTAAGGACACTCGACTGAGTAGTGCCCCTTGAGATGCTTATACACCTCAATTAGGTCGCCCCTTACCCGTCTGTAGTATAAGATAGGCAAGTTCAGGCGCTCCAATCTCTCAGGGTAGTTGAGGTGCCGAAGTGCAGGCACCAGTCTGGTGGCCCTCCTTTGAACATTTTTAACCAACTGACAGTCCCTAGCAGATCTCGGAGAACAGACGGGGTGACAGTACTCCAGATGGAGAAGCACTTCACTCTTGAAGATCGTTGCGAGGGACGGTCTAGATATCTGAACGATCATCTTATAAGACCTAATAATTTATTTGCCTAATTTACCTTCTCGCTCATTGTCAACATACACACCTAGGTCCTTCTCTCTGTATCAAATGGTGCAGTTTCTTCGTCCCATTGGGACATATGATACGCCTCCTTACCGTTGGTACGCCCCAGGTGTATCCTCTTACACTTCGTGACATTGAATCTCCGCAGCCATTTCTTCGATTATTCTTGGAGCTCAGATCCTTCTGCAGCTCTTCAGTCCTCTTGATTTCCCGAAATAACTTGGCGTCATCCACAAACAACTCTGTTTTGACCACCTGATTATATGATGTAGAATCTTACTTCACTTACTCCAAGAATTTCCCACTGCAATCTTTTCATTTCCCTACAAATGTTCCCCGAACAATACTTGCTGGCCCTTGGCGGCACACTGCCTGCAAGCACTGCGGTTGGACCTTTTGCTGACGATGATCCAACAGGAACCCCGGAGAACAGTTTATTTTGTATTTCCATACCTAGCAATAAATAATTTAAACTTTGGAAAACACTTGAACCTTTAGCCACATACAGGGGGCAGACAAGTCGACCAACCATCTGCCGCAGACGTGCAGACACAGACCAACCATCTGCCGCAGAGGGGGCAGACACAGACCAACCATCTGCCGCAGAGGGGCAGACACAGACCAACCATCTGCCGCAGATGGGCAGACACAGACCAACCATCTGCCGCAGAGGGGCAGACACAGACCAACCATCTGCCGCAGAGGGGCAGACACAGACCAACCATCTGCCGCAGAGGGCAGACACAGACCAACCATCTGCCGCAGAGGGGCAGACACAGACCAACCATCTGCCGCAGAGGGGCAGACACAGACCAACCATCTGCCGCAGAGGGGCAGACACAGACCAACCATCTGCCGCAGAGGGGCAGACACAGACCAACCATCTGCCGCAGAGAGGCAGACACAGACCAACCATCTGCCTCACAGAGTTGGCAGATACAGACCAACCATTTGCTGTATAAAAGCAAGCACGTAGACCATCTGCCACATAGAGGGGGCAGACATGGCAGGCACGTAGACCATCTGCCACATAGAGGAGGCAGACATGGCAGGCACATAGACCAGCCACTTCCTGTGCCGGCAGTGGGTGTGTTGACCAGTCAGCTGCCATGTACAGGTTGGGAGAACAAACACAGACCACCTATCCAAAGAACGTTCAAGACATTAACCAACCAACCCTCTATAATGGAAGACACCCTTCAACTGGGAGGAAAAAAAAGGGGGGGGGGCGACAAGTGTTACTCCTAAGCACTAAGACAGGGAGGCTTCTCCATAAACAAAGAAAAGCCGTGAATTTTCAAACCAATTTAAAAACTACACGGAGGGTTTTGATGCCCTTCAGCACCGTTTCAAAGGAAGGGCTTTGATGCATTCCACCACCACAACCACATAATAAGAAAATTTACTTCAATGCCATCTACCACCAGACAAGGCTTCAATGCCTCCCAGTAACACTTACACCAGAAGAAGGTTGCAACCCTAAGGCACCATTGCCACTGCAGAACACTGCCACCACACCCGAGATGCCCCACAGTACCACCCACAGAAATTGCTCGATGATCTTCAGTACCTTCCCCAGTAAAGGCCCTTGATGTTGTCCAGCATCACACACACACACGTACGTCTCAATGCCCCCCAGCACCACCCCACACAGGGGCCTCTGTACCCCCAGCACCACCCACACAGGGGCCACTGCCCCAGCACACTCCACACATACCCCAGCACACTCCACACAGGGGCCTCTGTACCCCCAGCACCACTCCACACAGGGGCCTCTGTGCCCCAGCACACTTCACACAGGGGCCTCTGTACCCCCAGCACCACTCCACAGGGGCCTCTGTCCAGCAGAGGGGCCTCTGTACCCCCCAGCACCCCCTCCACACAGGGCCCTGTACCCAACCCTGCCCCCAGCACAACTCCACACAGGGGCATCTATACCCCTAGCACCACTCCCACACACGGACCTCTGTACCCAAACCCGCCCCCCAGCACCAATCCACACAGGGCCCTCTGTACCCCCAGCACAACTCCACACAGGGCCCTCTGTACCCCTAGCACCACTCCACACAGGATCCTCTGTACCCAACCCCTGCCCCCCAGCACAACTCCACACAGGAGCCTCTGTACCCCAGCACCACTCCACACAGGATCCTCTGTACCCAACCCCGCCCCCAGCACAACTCCACACAGGGGCATCTACCCTTAGCACCACTCCACACACGGACCTCTGTACCCAAACCCCCCCCCAGCACCAATCCACACAGGGCCCTCTGTACCCCCAGCACAACTCCACACAGGGCCCTCTGTACCCCCTAGCACCACTCCACACAGGATCCTCTGTACCCAACCCCGCCCCCCAGCACAACTCCACACAGGAGCCTCTGTACCCCCAGCACCACTCCCACAGGATCCTCTGTACCCAACCCCCCCCCAGCACACCCACACAGGGGCATCTGTACCCCTAGCACAACTCCACACAGGGCCCTCTGTACCCAACCCCGCCCCCACCCAGCACAACCCACACAGGGGCCTCTGTACCCCCCAGGACCACTCCACACAGGAGCCTCTGTACCACCCCCAGCACCACTCCACACAGGACCCTCTGTACCCAACCCCCGCGCCTCCAAGCACAACTCCACACAGGGCCTCTGTACCCCCAGCACCACCCACAGGGGCCTCTGTCACACAGGGCCTCTGTACCCCCCCAGCACCACTCCACAGGGGCCTCTGCCCCCCCCAACACCACTCCACACAGGGCCCTCTGTACCCCCCAACACCACTCCACACAGGAGTCTCGATGCACTCTAGCACTACTCAGCACAGGGGACTCTATGCCTTCATGCACCACTTTGCTTAGGGGCCTCGATGCCCTCTAGCTCCACCCCAGAAAGGGGCATCTGACTACAGGAGGATAGGGGACAGGAAAATTTAATATTTTTTAATAGTTATGAACAAAACGGGTGTATATTAAGGAGGATTTTTTTGAAGGGCCTTTAGATACTTCATGAAGAAGAGGGAAGAGACAGCGAAAGGCCTCTTGATATTTCACGAGGAAGTGGGGAGGAAAAAGAAAGCCGATTTATACCGAGAAAGGAAGGAGAAATGGGAAGGTCTCAGATAAGCTTTAGAAGCAAGGGAAATAGTAAGTCTAATTTGATGCTTACTGTAACCATGGGAGGGAGGATGGGGCTGATGGCCCTTGACTAGTTTGTCACTAATCAGAAATTTAAGGCAGGCAAGTTTAAACTTATGGCCTTGAATGTGAATGGTGACGCCATTCTTCCTGAAAACAAAAACATAAAACATTAAATTAAATTGTCGACGTACCTTTTATCCTTGGTGAGCGAAGGTCTGGACGAGCTGTACCCTCACTTACCTGTAAAGTTTTGGAATGAATTAGTAACTAAGTAGATTACCAAACTTAAATAAAAGTAACCCGATAATGCCTCAACTCCTACAGCTATTTACTTGACCCTACCCAATTATTTACCTTAAACAGTCTACAGTTATATGTCCATGAATGCATACCTGTATTATAGATTTATTAATAAAATGTTTGATACTAGCATGCCAAACCTTTAGAATAAAAAAAATATATATATACAGCTTTCTCACCTTAACCTGAAGGAAGAGGCCACCTGTGTCCCTTGTCTTGTCCTATTTGATCCTGCTGAGTCCTGGGAATTTGAGCCTGTAATGCCAAAAACAATTAAAGAACTGTATTTTCCATTAAACCTTTTTATCATAATATGAGGCAGTCTAGGTAACTTAACTAACCTTTCCACAATAAGCGGGCCCGTAAGCCCAGCCCCTCGTCTATAGCACAAATAGCAGATTGGTTCCCCTGAGCGTCGTACCTCCCCCCAGACTGCGCATGTACAAGTGCGTACAGTGTTTATATCGACCTTTTATGATAACATTAAAATTTTTCTAGCATCCTCTCTGAAGTGCTAATCCTTGAAATCATCTGCATTTTGATAGTTCAGACAATAAACATTTTAAGTAATAACAGGTCTGCTTACATATTGTGAACATATTTAGTTTGAAGTTTCTATAAACCAATTAGCTATTAGTATAAAAGAGGTACATGGCTTATGGGCCAGGTTAGCATGGAAATACTATAATAACTGTATAATACATCAGCAAACAGTATGTTTAGCTCCATGACCTTATCTGACTAGCTCCCGAACAACTTAGAAAATAGCTGTATATATATTTAACATCACTTATTTAAAATACGTACGAACTCAGTGGTACGAAACTATTGCAATTATGAACAAGAACCTAGCAATCTGAAGGTCCTGTAGTTTGCCAAATTTGTTGCTTCTCAAGTGTTGTCTAAACTGGTATTTCCTGCTACATAACTGGATTTCCATTTTGTGCATTTAAACATCTAAAGGACCTGGATTTCTTTTTTATGCAATATGATGGGAGCCTGTATATGAAGGTATTAAGGTAAAATGCCTAAGTGGTAAGTGATGGCTCGCATGAACATTTGATCAATGGAGGAAGCATCCAGAGGTTGGCAAAGCATGTTACTAAAAAACTAGACATTTGTATTTAATATAATGTTCAAAATGAGAGGTTAATTTTTCATTTTTTTTTATTCCACGATTTATCTGGATCAGACTAGAGTATGCAATTGGCAATTTGGAAGAACTGGACAGCTTTTAATGTTCCATTTTACCGTCAATCACCTAACATTGAAAAAGATGCAAATGGTTGCCATGTCTGCAGGTATATATTGGTTTAACTCGCTGCCGCGGGGAAACACTTCAATTGGGAGTACCGTTAACATACTTTCCGGTGAAATTCGTTCATAATTTTAAGCCAAACAACCCAGCCTTACCGATGTTCACAGAGAACATGTATTGCGGTGAGCTTCTACAGTATCAACATATTATGTCACCAGCCTATGATGAACTGCCGTAAGCATATCCATGTACTATTGACAATATTAAATGTGTTAAGGCCACAGAAAGGCTAACAATAGTAGTCTCCATTCACATTACACTCTTACTATAGAAAAAAAAAATTAAATACCAAATTTTTTTACTTAAATCGGTATACAGTATATTCCTTTCACCACGTCTCAACACTAGTTCCACCCCAAAAAATCTAAATACGTTTGGTGTGAAATTTTTTCAATATTTTTAGTGCGAGGGGAAATTTGGGAATAGCAAAAATCTTATTACCGCTACACTAACAAAAAAAAAAAACATTGTGCGGACCAAAACTGAAAGCCTCCCCATAACTTAAACAATTGCTTTCAAGAAAATTACACCCATTCAATTTAAAAGTTATTACTTACCGTTTCATTTCCGAAGCCATCAACTTTCTCAGGTTCTAAAACACATCCAGGCACGTCGACCAACTAACCGAAAAACGTACAGGGGCAAACTTCAACCAGCCACCCAAGGAACATCAGAGGGGCAGAAACGTCTACCAGCAACCTGAAACATGTTAGGAGTAGTTATTAGTAAGTGGCCGCCACCCAATTTCTCAAATCAGTCAAATGAAAAAGTTATGCAAATTATAATCTAAAATTAATTGTTGTATCAAATTTTTAGTCCAGTAATGTAATTGAAAACTGTCCATACAGCACATGCTTGTTTCCACCTCGACTCAAGATATCTAAAATATGCCACACTAAAATCAACTAGTTCAACGTGAATACAGTGGTCACTGCCCAACTTTGGATACGAGTTGTGCATGCATGTAAAGTAATTATCCATTTACCCTTGATGTCTTGCTCCTATAGAGCTTCCTTATGCAGGAATAATTAGAAGAGCAGGGTGACGATTGTGCCGTTCTCAAACCTAGCAATGCATTAAATACTCAAAACTTGGGAAAACTCTTACCAACTTTAGCTGCAGAGAAGGGGCACACGTCATCCAATCATCTGCTGTGTAGTGGGGCAGACACGTCATCCAATCATCTGCTGTGTAGTGGGGCAGACACG